AGAACAAGAAACTCCCCAGGGCAGGGTTACATCCCTCGCTTGCTACAGGGTTGCAACCCTCGCTTGCTACAGCAGTCGACTGAGCAGAGGTGGATGAGCGAGTGGTTGGTTATTGTCAGGGTGTTGCTCTTTGGGCTGCGCCAAAACCGACCGAGTCGTAACCTTCGAGACCCAATCTTCCCAGCCAAAAGTGGCGAGATAAGCGGGGTGAGGCGCTTCCTGCGTTTCAGCAACTTTGGCGATGTTTTATTTTTGTATTTTGCTTCATGCCGACAGTGGCTGGGGACATAAATTTCGCCGCTGCGGGATTTCAGTGAAAATGCACCAACAGCAACAACAAGAACAACACACACACACAAACAAAAACCGCAATTCGCCACTAAGTGGCGGTGACGTCACCACGACGCTTGTGCCAGGCCATGTGCACCTTGAGGCCACGTGAAGTGTCGAACGCCCGCTGGCAGGAGGTCACGGGGCAGACCCAGATGCCACGGGTCGACTGACACAGACACAACAACAACAACCGCCATTCGCCACTAAGTGGCGGTGACGTCACCACGACGCTTGTGCCAGGCCAAGTGCACCTTGAGACACACACAGACACACACACAAACCCCGACGAAGAACTGTGTTGATGTCAACACTAGCGAGGCGCCGTGCCAGCGAGTTCAGTCGTACGGAGGGACATCTCACGGCCCCGTAGGCTTCCCGTCCCACCATTAGCCCACGCGGTCTCGCCTGGCACGAGCGGCGCTGCTGCCGGACGAGACAAACGAATTTGCATTCACTGGGCTCTCGCTTTAAATGCCGCGGAATCTCCACGGGCCTTGCATCAAATCCAATCTCGGCCGTGCCCAGCTGTGGATCGAATTGTCTCTGCTGTGGCCTAGATTCTGCAATTTCCACGACAGCGTGTTGAAAGCAGACCACGAAGCGTGCCCTGCAGGGCCCCCTGAGCTCATCCTTGATCTCGACTCGCCCCACTGCCAGCGGCCGTAGAGAAATGACAAAAAGGTTTTTAATGCTTCGCATCAGCCCCATGGCGAAGAGAGTCAGTGCATTAGCCCCGTGTGTCAAGACGTGTGTCAAGACGTGTGTCTAGACGTGTGTGTACACGAGGTCTGTGTGTCTAGACGTGTCTAGACGTGTGTGTACATGTGCCCTGTGTGTGTCTAGACGTGTGTGCATGTGGTCTGTGTGTGTCTAGACGTGTGTGCACGTGGTCTGTGTGTGTCTAGACGTGTGTGCACGTGGTCTATGTGTGTCTAGACGTGTGTGTACACGAGCTCTCTGTGTTGCTCTTCAGGACTTTGCCCAATCTAACACCGGTCAGATGTTTCAGGGTTCTCCTAAAAATCCTGGAGACCCAATACAGAGCAACGAGAACTTGCTCATCCCAACAACTTCCCGTCAGCTTCCGTGCTGCTCGTGAAATACTTGTGAGGACAAATCCGAACGTTCATACGCCTCCAGCGAACCGCGTGGCTCGCCTTGGCTGACGCTACCCCGAGCCAAACATCCACTCGCGTTGTCATCGTCCAGCACGTTTTCTCGTTTCAACGTCGACCTCGGCCAGAGATGCCATGAGTGGAACCACGCAGCTGGGACGACCCCTGGGCACAGGGACCCCTCCTGGACACAGGGATGACTCCTGGGCACAGGGATGACTCCTGGACACAGGGATGACTCCTGGACACAGGGATGACTCCTGGGCACAGGGACCCCTCCTGGGCACAGGGACCCCTCCTGGACACAGGGATGACTCCTGGACACAGGGATGACTCCTGGACACAGGGATGACTCCTGGACACAGGGATGACTCCTGGACACAGAGGAGACCCCTGGACACAGGGATGACCCCTGGGCACAGGAACCCCTCCTGGACACAGGGACCCATCTGGGCACAGAGGAGACCTTTGGGCACAGGGATGACTCCTGGGCACAGAGGCACCCGCGCGATGCGTGGCACAGCCTGGCTACAGCCCACAGCTTGGGGTCGGGACCCAGCAAGACACGCTCTTAACAGGGCTGGATGTACGTACTCAGTATGTGTGTCGAACTTCTTACGCACCGTACGTAGCCAAACCATGCTAATCGGGGGGGGGGGGGTAGGGACGGTGGGAAGGACACCAAGCTGAACACGACAGCTCGTGACGAGCCCCCCGCCTTGCGCAACATGCAGGCGGTCGCGTTGAGCCTTGCACGACGTCGTTGTCGTCTCACAGACAACGAGCGGCAGCACCACGTGACGGCCTCCCCCGCAGGGCTGCTGGCCAACAGCGACATAGACCGAGTGTCTGGGGAGTCTCCGTCTGCCTGTCCTCCACCCACCCCCCAGCTCGTAGCTGCAACCAGCGTCATCAGGCAGTCGCCAGCAATGCGAAGATGCCCTCCACACATTTGAGTCTTGAGATCTGAAACAAAATCAATGCCGAACCACAATAACGGCCTCCAGGGCCCACGCGTTTGAGGTTGTGGTTGTTGATGCTTCGTTAATATTTTACGAGGAGATATGGTCTGAAACAAAATAAGAGTTCACCACGGGCGATGTCTCAAACGTTGTCTATTCGTCTCGAATAGCCACGCGATTTGTACACAGGCCACAGGCGCGTCGCTGTTATTGTCAAACTGGCGTTATTGAAACAGTGCCATTCTAACGACGCAACCCACTGACCTATATCCACTAATGAGGCCTCGCCTCTGACCCCTGTCCTCCAACAAGCCATTTCATAACCTCTGAACTTCAACCCAAACCCGGCTTTAAATCCGCATGGACAACTGCAAGCAATATCCGTGCACTGTAGCCGCACATCGTGGTGGCGACACGCACGCACGCTGACTCAACTGCCGCAACATCCCCCTCTACTCGCGATGCAGAAGCTGCCTAAGGCAGTTGGAAGGAGCTGGGTTTAAAAAAATGCAAAAGTGGACTACGATTAAATGATGGCCGTCGCGGAATTCGCGCGTACACCAGAGGTCGCAACCGGGTACCCGATACCCGTACCCAATCCGATACCCGGCTACCCGTACCCGGCCGGGTACGGGTACCCGTTTGCGACCCTGGTGAGGCCGGGTACGGGTAGGCCGTGAGTCACTCATTTCCCAACGTCTTGTCTCTTCTCACAATTCAAGTTCCTAGAATCAACCAACCCGCGCCTGCAACATGGCTTCATCCCAGAGGTCGCAATCAGGTACCCGATACCCGTACCCGTTTGCGACGCTGGTGCGGCCGGGTACGGGTAAGGAATCAAAACCCGTTTGCGACCTCTGGCGTACACACGGGGGTGGGGGCTGAGCGCCAGATCAGAAGCAGCAGCAGCAGGAGACGGCGGCGACTCGTGACTCGTTCCGCTCAGCGGCTCTTCATCACGTGTGTCTACAAGTGACGCTTCACGACCGGCCGCCACGTGGCGCGCCAGAGGAGAACTCGCAACCAGAAGGGAGGGAGGTTGGAGGGGGTTGAGTCAGCACATCATCCCACCACACTCCGGGGACAATAAAACGAGGACCACTTCGCGGGGAGCTCGACAGTGGTTATCCTATGGAGAGGCTTCCTCCCGCCATGGTAATGTGGAATTCCCACTATTGGATGTGCCTGAGCGCTCTTTGCTGGGCAGGACAATCGATGCTTCGACTTCTGTCTGGGGCTGCAAAATGGAACGTTAAAGACCCCGCGACACCGACGTCCGTGAGCCCCCCACCCACGTGGTGCAGCGTCAGGGCGCTACTCGCAACAACAACAACAACACCAACAACAACAACCGCCATTCGCCACTAAGTGGCGGTGACGTCACCACGACGCTTGTGCCAGGCCATGTACACCTTGAGGCCACGTGAAGTGTCGAACGCCCGCTGGCAGGAGGTCACGGGGCAGACCCAGTTGCCACGGGTCGACTGATTGAGATGACCGAGATGACTGGCTGATGCACCACCTGTGCCCCCTACTGTACCAACTTGCTGTGCTTTAGCCACCCGGCGCTCCGCTCGTTGTTGTGAGCGTCGCTCCTCCGCCCTCCGTTGTTGTTGGAGGGCGACTGCCTCCAACTGCCCAGTAGCGCCCTTCACGAGCCTCCTCCACAGAGGCCGATCTTGGCACCGCTGGTACCAGTCATGGGCAAGTCCTCTCAACTCCACCTCCTCCTGTACCACATCATTCCATCTCTTCTCTAGCCCGTGCCGCGCCCGTTTAGCCCCCTCCATCCGGCCGAACAAAAGCTGTTTAGGCATGCGGTGGCTGGGCATGCGGGCTACATGACCCAGCCAACGCAGCCTTGCCTGCCGGAGGAGCTCACCGATGGGACTTTTGCCCAGATCTTTCAAGGATTTGTGAGCTCCTCACACAATCCAGCCTGGTTAAACCCAGGATGGATCGTAGGCAGGCCAGCCTAAATGTTTCTAACCGGCGAAGATGTTCCACTAGGGGGGTCCACGTTTCGCAAGCGTAGAGCAGGGAGAGAATGACTGTGGCAGAGAAGACCTGAAGTTCCGTGTGGAGCGACAGACCAGGTAGCTTCCACACAACGTTACGCAACCGATGAAAATATAATGCCGCTCGACTGATTCTGAGTGAGACCTCTGCTGTTAAACTGGAGCCGGTCATAAGCACACTGCCCATGTATGGGAAATTCTCCAATCTCCCCACAACAACACCACCAACACCAACACCACCAACAACAACACCAACAACACCAACACCATCACCAACAACACCACCACCAACACCACCACCACCAACACCACCAACATCACCACCAACAACCCCACCACCAACAACACCAACACCACCACCAACACCACAAACAACACTACCAACAACAACACCACCAACAACAACACTACCAACATTCAACTTTACTCGCAGTGGTATTGTCTCGTGTGCGCAAGAAATCCCTTTGACCAAAGTTCACGGCGGAGGCCTCCTTCCACCCCCACCTGCCGCCACCATACACCATACAACGCAGCAGCAGCATCGTGATCGTCGTGATCGTCGTGGTGGTCACCTGGTCGAAGTAGATGACCCTGGTGCGGTTGCTCATCTCGGGCGGCTCGTGGTTGGTGCTGCGCACCACCGAGAACGCCACTTTGGCGCCGCCCGAGCGCACCGAGAATCCCAGCGACGAGGGCCCCGAGAAGGGCGACGGCGCCTCCGCCGAGTCGGCCGAGGGGTTGGAGTCGCACACCACGAGGCACTTGCCCTCCAGCACGATGGGCTCCGTGTCGTTCTGGGCCAGCGCCGACGGCAACAGCGGCGCCAGGACCACGGCGATGGATAGCGACAACAGCAGCAGCAGCTGCAACTGCGGCGGCGGCGGTGGTGGCGGTGGTGGTGGTGGATTAGGATGGAGAGGCGCTCCCGCGGAGAGGTGGCGCGTCGCCCCAGAGCGCAGCTGGCGCTGTGGCGGTGCCATGGTGGTGGTGAAAGTGCTGGTGATGGTGCTGGTGGTGGTGCTGGTGCTGGTGGTGCTGGTGGTTGCGGTGGTGGCGGTGGTTCGGGCCGCTGGGGAGGGCGGGGAGGACAAGCGGGGCCTGGAGGGGCCCGTGGGGTCCGCGGGAGGAACCGCGGCGGATTCTTCTCCCCGCGCCGTCGCCGCCGCCGCCGCCTCCTCCTCTCCCGCACGGCACCGCAGCTCCTTTGCTCTCCTCCCTCACCGGTGGCTCGCTGCGAGAAAGGAGGCAATGCCGCGTTGTGAGTCGGAATAATGAATACATAATAATAACAACGATGACACTGTACGCGTAGCGTTCACTCGGCCACCACTCGAGTTTGCTTCCCAGCCATGGCGAACTGTCGCAGCGGGAGATGTCAGAACCTCTCTCCCCAGCAACCCGCCACTCGCCAGTTTGGTGAAGTATGGTCGTGCATCCAGCGACGGGTTCACAAAGGGGTGGAACGCCACGGACGTGACTCGTGACACACATCCAGAGCAGTGGCTCTTCGCCTTCACTGCAGCCTTGCACCCATTTGGTTTCTTAAACGTAATTGTTTTCATTTTAATAATGTCAATAAATGCATCGGGGGTTGATGACACAAAGTCGTTGTTACGAACGTGCCCGTGCTGACATTCGATTAATTACCTTTTAAACAAATCTGGCCGTGTCCCGCACCCCCAGAAAGGGCATCTCGCAACCTCTGGGGGTGCACGCAAAGGGGGCTAAGGAGAACCACTGGCTTCGAGGAATAACGCAGAGTAGAGGTAGAGGCTCAGCCCTGCAATTGCCCGCTTCACACCACTGCTGGCAGAAGGGTCTCCACTCGAGGAGCTCAAGCGAAGTGTCCCTCCCGACGGTCATTTCACCTCCTCGTCCACGCCGAAAGCGTAATGAGTACCCACGCTTTACCCCACCACACACGAATTGCTCGCGACTTGCAGGTGTACACATGCATAGTGCTGGGTGTACACAGGGGCGTTGGGCGGGGTGGGGAGGAGGGAGATACAAATAAAAACCTGCACCATTATTTCAACAACCAAGTCGAGAATTCTAGATTTGAAGCTTTCGTGACTGCAAGGATTCATACTCTTAGTTTTTTCGGTAAAGTCACGTATGTATAAAATGAAATTAAAATTAATAAAAATAAAATAAAATAAACCACGACGTTTCGAAGGCAACACAAGTCTCCGTCATCAGGTGGGACCGTCACAGCAAATCTGGCTGTGAAACGTCGTGATTTTTCATTATTTTATTTGTCAAGTATGAACCAAGTCGAGAGTTCGAATCTACGGCATCTGGATTGAGTGCAAGTCCAGCGGATGCCGCCGAACCCACTGCAGCACCGCGGCGTGGGCATCCCCGCAGCAGGAACGAGATCCGTCGGCCCAACCCACCGGCAGCCAAAGTCGAATCTCAACCAGCAGCCGCCAAACGGTGACAAAGACGTCGTCGGCGTGCCCGTGCGCGCGTAAATAACGCGCGTGATAAAAACAAACGCATCTGCCTGCGAGGCCGAGCACACAAGGCTCGGAGCGGGTGACAAAGGAGCGGGTCGATGTCGAGTGCATCGGCGCCCCGCGTTTATGGACTCGCATAGCGCGCCCAGAGGAGCCCGCGCTGGCAGCCACCGTAAATTGCGTCGAGATATAAATTATTTAGCAGTAAATACGCCAGCGCCGTTTTAATTCTTTCCTTAAATCCTCGCGCGCGACACCACCGCCGCGATCTACACGTGTTCATTATTATTATTATTGCGATATCAGCCCCCTTCTCTCTCTCTCCTCTCACGCCGGTCAACAGGGAGCTAGCTCTAAGTCATTACACAGCATAACACGCGCGCTGTTTTCTGTACCGGGATTAATTGCCGGCACGGCCGGATGCAAACCCACGAAACGCACACTGCGCGTAGCGCACCCAAACACGATGTCATAACCTACTTACTCTACTGCCCCCCGCGTGGAATCCGAAAATATCGCTACGAAAGGGGACGCGATCTGGACACAGTCCCCCCAACTCGGCGAGCTCCTCCCGCAGCCGATGGAGGCTGCGTTGGCTGGGTTGCGTAGCCCGCATGCCCAGCCACCGCATGCCCAGCCACCGCATGCCCAGCCAACGCATGCCCCAGCCACCGCATGCCCAGCCACCGCATGCCCAGCCAACGCATGCCCAGCCACCGCGTGCCCCAGCCACCGCATGCCCAGCCACCGCATGCCCAGCCACCGCATGCCCAGCCACCGCGTGCCCCAGCCACCGCATGCCCCAGCCACCGCATGCCCAGCCACCGCATGCCCAGCCACCGCGTGCCCCAGCCACCGCATGCCCCAGCCACCGCATGCCCAGCCACCGCATGCCCAGCCACCGCATGCCCAGCCACCGCATGCCCAGCCACCGCATGCCCCAGCCAACGCTTGCCCAGCCACCGCATGCCCAGCCACCGCATGCCCAGCCACCGCGTGCCCCAGCCACCGCATGCCCCAGCCACCGCGTGCCCAGCCACCTCATGCCCAGCCACCGCATGCCCCAGCCACCGCATGCCCAGCCACCGCATGCCCAGCCACCGCATGCCCAGCCACCGCATGCCCAGCCACCGCATGCCCCAGCCAACGCTTGCCCAGCCACCGCATGCCCAGCCACCGCATGCCCAGCCACCGCATGCCCAGCCACCGCATGCCCAGCCACCGCATGCCCAACCACCGCGTGCCCCAGCCACCGCGTGCCCCAGCCACCGCATGCCCAGCCACCGCATGCCCCAGCCACCGCATGCCCCAGCCACCGCGTGCCCAGCCACCGCATGCCCAGCCACCGCTTGCCCAACCACCGCATGCCCAGCCACCGCGTGCCCAGCCACCGCGTGCCCCAGCCACCGCATGCCCAACCACCGCGTGCCCAGCCACCGCATGCCCAACCACCGCATGCCCAGCCACCGCGTGCCCCAGCCACCGCATGCCCAACCACCGCATGCCCAACCACCGCATGCCCAACCACCGCATGCCCAGCCACCGCGTGCCCCAGCCACCGCATGCCCAGCCACCGCATGCCCCAGCCACCGCATGCCCAACCACCGCATGCCCAACCACCGCATGCCCAACCACCGCATGCCCAGCCACCGCGTGCCCCAGCCACCGCATGCCCAACCACCGCATGCCCAACCACCGCATGCCCAACCACCGCATGCCCAGCCACCGCGTGCCCCAGCCACCGCATGCCCAGCCACCGCATGCCCCAGCCACCGCATGCCCAACCACCGCATGCCCAACCACCGCATGCCCAACCACCGCATGCCCAGCCACCGCGTGCCCCAGCCACCGCATGCCCAACCACCGCATGCCCAGCCACCGCATGCCCAACCACCGCATGCCCAGCCACCGCGTGCCCCAGCCACCGCATGCCCAACCACCGCATGCCCAGCCACCGCATGCCCCAACCACCGCATGCCCAGCCACCGCATGCCCAACCACCACATGCCCAACCACCGCGTGCCCCAGCCACCGCATGCCCAACCACCGCATGCCCAGCCACCGCATGCCCAACCACCGCATGCCCAGCCACCGCGTGCCCCAGCCACCGCATGCCCAACCACCGCATGCCCAGCCACCGCATGCCCCAACCACCGCATGCCCAGCCACCGCTTGCCCAGCTACCCCGTGCCCAGCCACCGCATGCCCAGCCACCGCATGCCCAGCTACCCCGTGCCCAGCCACCGCATGCCCAACCACCGCATGCCCAACCACCGCATGCCCAACCACCGCATGCCCCAGCCACCGCATGCCCCAGCCACCGCATGCCCCAGCCACCGCATGCCCAGCCACCGCTTGCCCAGCCACCGCATGCCCAGCCACCGCATGCCCAAGCAGCGTATGTTTGTTTAGCCGTATAGAGGGGGCTAAACGGGCGCGGCACGGGCTAGAGAAAAGACGGAGTGACGTGGTACAAGAGGACGTGGAGCTCAGTGGGCTTGCCAAATGACTGTTACTAGCGGTGTCAAGATCGGTCTCAGTGGAGGAGGCTCGTGAAGGACGCTGCTGCTGCTGGCCAGTTGGAGGCAGTCGCCCTCCAGCAACAACGTAGGGCAGAGGAGCGACGCTCACAACAACGAGCGGAGTGCTGGGTGTCTAAAATGAAGCAAGTTAGCACAGTCGACTGAAGCGAGTGAATACTCCTCCACACGCACGCACTGCGACACTGGTGGAGGCAGTGATGGGCACCTGCATCTCCTGCACAGTCCATGGTGGACACTGCATCTCTTTCACAGCCCATGGTGGACACAGCATCTACTGCACAATCCAACCTCCAGGGAGCACAAACACCTGTGGCTGCCTTGGCTGAGAGTGGGCCCAGCTATGGCTAAGAGACACCGACTAAATGTTGCACCAAAATCTTGATCATATCGTTGAGACCGCGACATTTTTCTCTCCCATTCAAGAAGGTGATGACAAATGGCGGTTGTTTGGCCGCTAGAAGTTTCACGTGAAAATAAGAAGCGACATTTATATGAAGTGTCGTTTTATCTGTATATTGTTTTAATTATTTAATTACATTTCAACATTCTTTGCACTCCGATCGTGTTGTTGTACTGTTTGTTGTTGGCAACGTTCTGACCCTACCCCTACTGGGCACCTGCGAAAAAGAGCTTCATAGCTCATCGGATTCCTCCTTCAGTACAAATAATTATTCTGATTCTGACGATGCAGTGCATGTAACGCAGCAACACATGGACAGGCGACTCGTTCCTGAGTCAGTAGTAGCCAGTGGGGGGAGGGGGCTGCGTAGATTGAAGACAATTACAGCCCGGGCCACATTGCCCATGGAGCGTGTCCACGAGGTGCCTCCTAGCCGGGACCCGACCCCGGGCAGCTCCGGCTGAGATGAATCCCCGACTCTAGCGCCGTAGCGAGGCGGGTGACCCTCTCTGTGGTCTGCGCGCTCGCTCCGGGGAAGCGCGCGCGCGAGTCGAGGCCTCGCCGCCGGGACCCGCCCCTCCGTGGAGATGGAATGGAGGGACATTGTGGCCCAGCAAGCTGCAGAGTATTGTGGGAATATTCCGTGGGATGACTGCGTCATGTAAAACCTGGATCGTTTGATGTTATAACGGCATGTGTGGTGGATACGCGTGTGGCTGCCTGTAATCCAGGGCACACGATTCATACACACACACACATCGATACGTACACAGATAAAGATCCCCCGTATAGCCTGAATAGACTTTTACGGCAAGTGCTCTAAGCGAGTTCTTTGAAGGCCAGCACCACAGCACACGCGGGGGAGGGTGGCCGCACTAGGTACTCATTTGAGGCTGAGTCGACCTAGGGCAGGCCCAGGACGGTTCAGATAATCGTCGCCGGTGTTGGTGGCCGTGAACGGGAATCGAACTCGGGTCGCCGGCTACATAGCGCGGCGCGCGCGAATTACTGCTCCACCGCTCCCCATCACACACAGACACACAGACACACGTACACGCACGTAATAAAACACACGCACAGACACACGTAATAAAGCACACACACAGACACACGCACGTTATGAAGCACACACACACAGACACACACACACAGACACACACACACACAGACACACGCACACACGTACGCGTGCATACCCAGACGCACGCTCGGGCGCGGATGAGCTCCGCGCTGAACAATGGAGCACTGCGCACGCTCCTCTGCACCCGAGTCAGGGCCACGCGGAGCGGCCGAGCCACACACGTGACCCCCTAATTGGAGCAATTAATCCGGCAATGGACGGCGGGCGGTATAAATATTTTATCAGATTCAGAGATGAGAGTTCTGTGTGTGTGGCCCCATCTCCCTCTCTCTCTTTCTCGCTCTCTTTCTCTCGCCGTCTTTCTCTCTCTCCGCGGTTTCTTTTGCTTGTAGTTGAACCTCGGGATTCACATCCGCAGAGACAATCTCGCCTGAAGCCGGCTGCGTCTGTGGAAGTACCCGCGAACCGAGTGTCGCCTCGCGGCGAATCTCGAGTTCATGTCACGGTGCTTCTCAACTGCCCTCCCCCAGGTCACCAATAGCTAAACACGTTCATGAACAACACTGCCGTGAAAGGAAGAGTATTACGTAGGCGACGTTTCGTTCAATGACCATTCTTCATAGCACGTGTTACGAATAGGGCCTCGATGCACGGGCAGATGATCCCACGTCCACGCCTCGAGCCAAGGCGGTGTTCGTAAGGCCGCGTGGCTCTCGCCGTGTTGTTCATGGCCTTCTGCCGTGAGGATGCAACTCGTTTCGCGTTGTGCACCAGCGCGCTTTGTCACCGCAATGTGTCCCCGAGGTTCCACGCGCGCACATTCGAAGTTTCTCCTGCACGGAATCCGTGTCACAGCCTGTTCATTAATTCTGCAGCATATCCAGTGGCTCCCTGGCTAAGGGGGCAAGGTTATTTCACACCTGCTGGAAAACACGGCAATCGTATTCTTGTTTTATATGGCTGCGAGGTTTGATCACTCGTGGCGAAGTGCTCACGTCGAGATTGGTGAGTCAGTGGACGGCTTCACGAGGAGCCCGGTGAAGATCGTTCCCGATCTTCACCGAATGCTCAGTGAGCTGCGGCGTTACGATGCAGTCCGCGCGTGGTTTGGGATACGGACTTACACGTGGAAATTCTGACATTTGCCAAGACACCCATGGCCTTACATAGACCCCACCCATAGGCGAATAGTCGACGCTCTGTGTTTGAATCTTGAACTTCTGTCGCGCCTGACGTATCCATCCGTGCGAAATCGGAGACGCGAATGTGGCAGCCGAGTGACCGCGTGGTCCAACGGGTTGAGAATTGCGACCGCAGATCGGTGACTGTCAGATTTTCTTGATGACTGGAGCTGCACTAATTACCACGACGTCAGTCCACTGCTGGATGAAGGCCTCCCAATGTCCCCGTGCCGGTACGGCTTCAGACGTCACTCGTCACCAACGTTAATTCGTGGCCAGGAGTTGAACTCAGGCTACAAAGCGCAGCAATAACCACTGCCCCCCGACCCCCGACATGATGAATGTGGTTATCTGACCATACCGGCCAAATCCCCCGGCTTGAAGGGGCACCGCGTGTCACTGCCGCGGGGATGTTGAGCCCTCTCCGACGTAACAACGCACAGCCCTTTGACAACCCGTGCCAAGTCGGTCATGGTAGCCGAGGTTTGACCATACTTCACCATGTCCGCATAGAGCGTTGCTGACGTCACCTTGTCGCACGAAATGAGACCACGCACAGGCTCAGCGTGCTAACCACTCCGCCACCGCTCCCCCCCCCCCCCCCCCCCCCCCCCCCAGCTGTTCTGTATACGATGATGCGGACCAAGAGATGACGACCAGAGCGGTTCCCTGCGGTGTCAAGACCACCGCCTTTGTCTCACCAGTGCTCGTGTTTACACACCGCGCCGTGCATGTGCTGATGTGCTCGTTCACGACGTACATACACGTGTATATCCATTAACTGACGCACCAGCACGAGTAGACATTTATACAAAGACAAAGATCCCCCGTATAGCCTTAACAGACGGTTGGGGCAAGTGCTGTTAGCGAGCACCTCTGAAAGCCGGCACGGCACACGAGGGGGTGGGTGGCCAGCACCACGCCCGACCGCCTTTGTCTCCCCAGTAGCGATGTTTACGACACATCGCACCAGGCACTCATTTGAGGCTGAGTCGACCTAGGGGACGATTAGGACCGGTTCAGATAATCATCACTGTGGTGTTGGTGGCCGTGAGCGTGAATCGAACTCGGGCCGCCGGGTTCATAGCGCAGCGTAGCGCCAACCGCTGCGCCACCGCTCCCCACGTCGCGTGCACGCACGCGCATCCCCGCAGCATGCGGCGTGGTCGCATTGGGCGATGCCGCTGCTACTGCTGCCGCTGCTGCTGCCGCTGCTGCCTCTGCTGCTGCTGCTGCTGCTCCAGCAAGTGGCTCACAGCCGCAAAAACAACTCGACAGCACTCGCCAATAACGCTGTTGTCGGCTTGAAATTACTCAAATATATAATAGGCGACGTTTCGGGCGATGGCCCTTGTTAGTTGAACGCAGAGCGAGCATTACGCAAATGCATGTCCACAATGTACGCGCACGCGTGGATGCGCGGTGTCCTCTCGGCTCGTAAACTCTCCGCGCGCCAGAGTGCACGGGCAGTACGCGAAGACAAAGACCCCCCGTGTAGCCTTTAACAGACTGTAGGGGCAAGTGCTGTTTGCGAGCACCTGTGAAGGTGCGCCACGGCACACGAGGGGATGGGTGGCCAGCACCACGCCCTGCCGCCTTTGTCTCCCTCGTGCGAATGTTTACGCATCGCACCGCTCCACGTACTCATTTAAGGCTGAGTCGACCCAGGGGAGGCCCAGGACCGGTGTAGATATTTGTCACCGATGTTGGTGGCTGAGTTTGTAGCGCAGTGCGCTGACCACAGCGCGCCTCCGCTCGCCGCGGGGCGCTGCACAACACCGACAGTCCCCGCAAACTCGCGCATCACAAACAAGCGCATCGCTGTACGTTCTACAAGCAGAGAGCGTGCACGCCTAGACACACTCCCGTGCGCTTGACAAAACCCGCGCTCCATCCATTGCACGCGGCGCGTGTGCTACACACACGCGTGTTACACACGTGTGCTACAGAAGTGTGCTACACACACGCGTATTACACACGTGTGCTACACGCGCGCGTGGCTCACGTCACGCCACGCTTCAGTGGCGCGCGGAGTAGCGAGCGAGTGTTAACGCCGCTGTAGCGACGAGACACTCTAAACAGTACCAATGTGAATCATTTACAGCCCTTCGTCAATCCACTGCTGGATGAGTAGAGTGCGTCCCAGGGGAAGCGGACTGAGTTGGCCATACTTCACCACGCTGGTCAGCGCGGCTTGGTTAAACCGGGCGGCGATCCGGGGCCGGTTCCGATTTGTCATGAACTTGGCACCAGCGAGCGGCATCGAGCCCCGAACGCATGTCGGCAGTGCGCTAACCACTGCGCCACCGCTCCGCGTGATTTAACACGCTCTAGCAACCTGCTAAACGAAAGTTTAAACGCAAAAAAATAAAAATTGCGACGCGAGATTACGGCGGTGATATTTCAATTTAGTCCGTGTGAATATTCTATGAACTTGATTGCATCGTATCGCTTGCCCGCCCATGTCGCGTGGAAGCCAAATGCTGCTTACCGCTCATCACTGCGCTTGGCTCCATCCGCCGCGTGGAGGAGGAGGAGAGGCGATCTCTGAGCGCACGGTCGCGCTGCGCTCCTACCCCTGCGTGTGTGTGCGTGCGTGTGTGCGTGTCTGCGTGTGCGTGCGTGTCTGCGCGCGTATGTGTCTGCGCGTGTGTGTGCGTGTTTATACGGGGGATAGGGAGCAGAGGCAATGGACTGGCCCAACACGCCGTGCTCACACCGCCGCTGCTGCTGCTGCATGAGGAGCAACACGTGCGGATGCCGACTGTGTACGCAACCGTGAGATGACGCGCGCGCACACTGTGTAGAGATGTCACCCTACAGCCCTTGACACGCTGTTGCTGGGGCGAGTGCTGTTCGCGAGCACCTATTAAGACCGGAACGGCGCGCGGCGGGATGGGTGGCCGACACGACGCCCGTCCGCCTTTGTCTTCCCGCAGTGCTTATCTTTACACACCGCTCTAGGTACTCTTTAAGGCTGAGTTGACCTAGGGGAAGCGGTTCAGGCATTCGTCGCCGATGAGTGGGAGTAAGCATGCGCGCACACGTCAACAGAGATCCTCCGTGCACGCCTTTAACAGAGTCTCGGGGACGCGGCTGTCAGCGAGCACCTATTAAGGCCGGAACGGCTGACGAGGGGAGTGGCGCGGGCAGAACCAGCCCGGCCAGCCTGCTTTGTCTACCTCGTACTGATGTTTACGCACAGCGCCAGGTATTCACTTCAGGCTGAGTCGACCTACGGGAGACCAGAACCCAGTTGTGATATCACTCGTTACTGATGTTCGCCTTGGCCGGGAATCGAACTCAGGCCGTCGGGTTCGTAGCGCAGTACACCAATCACTACGCCACCGTTCACACACAAATACAAAGATCCCCCGTATAGCCTTAATATACTTGCGGGGCAAGTGCTGTTCCCTATGAAGACCGGCACGGTACACGAAGGGGTGGGTGGCCAGCACCACGCCCGACCGCCTTTGTCTCCCAAGTGGCGAGTGATGCCAGAACCGCACACAAATTATGAGCGCGTTTTACTCGATGTTGCAAGTGTTTGCATACTACATATAGACACACACACACACGAGGTGACTAGGGTGTTACATGAGGGCAAAATACGCCTTGAATAGTTCTAGAACCTATGCATCACGGGGTCGCGAGAAGTGGCAGCGGCTTGAGAGGGTGCCTTCATCTAGCAGTGGGTTGACCATGGCTGACGACGACGTTTGTCAATTCGAGCAGAAGAATGCTTCGTGCATGCGTCACGACCCAGCAGGCCCTTGATTCGCGTGCGACCCGTTTGTGTTGCATCCCCATAGTTTGCCGCTAGATGGCAGACGCGGCACGTGATAAAGAACTGCGTCACCCTTGCACAACTGCACATGAGAAAATCGACAAGTTTATACAATGACATCTGAGGCTTTTAATAAGTAAAATGTGTAGATTTGATTTGGTTGGGGGGGGTGGGGGTTGGTTGTTTAGCGTGTGCGTTTGAGAGATGGACTTCACGACGTTCGGTCACCGGTGGATGTAACATCGACTAGAACCAGAGGGGCGGCGCGGGAATTGGCGAGGAGCACAACGGCAACACGGAATCCATTGCCCCCCCCCTTGCCCCCCCCCCTTGCCCCCCCCCCCTTGCCCCCCCCTTGCCCCCGCCTCCCGAAGAGTGACGCTGCCAATTGGTGACAGCGATGAAGCTGGGGAGCGTTCACGCAGTGGCGGAGTGGCTGCCATCAGGATATAAAGTACTCGGGCGTCTGAGGCTTCAGCTCCTGCCAATGTCACTCGTGTTGAGAGGTTGGTTTTGGATGACAGGCGAGGAAGGAAGTAAGAGCGCACGCGTCAGCTGCAAGAGGGATGCGTGTGGGCGCAGTGAATTCAATAAATCATCGGGACAAGTTGAACGTCGAAGAGGCGCGTGTGTGTGTGTGTCCCTGTAGTCACGCGGTGAAAGGCCTTCATGTGAGCAGGGTTCGCGTGTGTCGTCTCGTGCTATCGCCCACCAATGCAGATGGGACGCGTTGATAATTGGTTTTTTACCCTTTTTATCTGGCAACAAAACTGACACCTTTTTTACAAGGAGTCATGTTTGCATAGACCACAATACCTGCAGTCGTAATGCAAACAAAAAACATAACTCTGATAATGTATGCACTGTCCTTGAAGTTGATTGGTCCACACCCGAGACAGCTTTCCTTTAAAAAAGGTGTCAATTTTGTTGCCAGATAAAAAGGGTAAAAAAACAATTAGCATATTTTTCTACTGGCAAATCTGGGACGCGTTGTTGCGGAGCTGCAGAGCGCGAGTCGGACGCACGCAGATGCTCGAGACAAGAAACTAATTCAAGTCCCGACCTCCTGCTGGAAAGGTAACATGGACGGTTTGTTTGGGAAGACATGTAGTCTCAAAACAGTTGCCTGTCCGAACATCGACTGTCACCAAGGTTCTTCACACTGCGTCTTCGTGGAGCACGGAGACGCAGTGTGAAGAGGACGTCTGTTGGAGACGCAGTGGAACCGTTGACAAGGGGCGGGTGTTGGAGCACCGAAACGCGTGGTGGTGATGATGGCCACATCATCACCACCACGTGCCCCGTGACGGCCTTTACAGGTGCTCGCTAACACCACGTGGCCCAACAATCTATAAGACTGCTGGACATCTGTGAGAAAGAGCTTCATAGCTCATCGGATTCCTCCGGTATAAAGAGACGACAGAGTGTGTGTATGTATAAATAAACTAGAGAGTGTGTGTGTGTATATATAAGAGACTACAGAGGGTGTATATATAGACTGTATTTTGGTTTTTTTATGCCACGCCTTGCATTGCAGCATAAAATACCAAATGTTGGCCAAGCCGCGGGCTTATTACAACCAGAATGCACATCGCAAGGTCACAGGGCAATGGGATTGCTTTGTTGACCTTTGCGGAAGCGTTAACCGCTCGGGGAAACGTTTGACGGCGCTATTATGAAATGTAAAAGGGAAAATGAACCGTAAAGGTCAGCTGCCGATGCGCTCTACGAATTCCAGAGGCGGGGCAAACGGCTCCACAGCGAGGAGCGGACCCGCAGCGTCAAAATACGTAGTCCGGATTGTCACCGCGAGAACCGGCAGGCGGTAGCGGCTCTCTCGGGGTGGAGGCTCCGAGGTGCAACGGCTGTGTCGAACGAAACGTGAGCACTGGCGGATTATCCTCGTAGCGACAGCGGCTACTACATATGTGGTAGCTACATATCTGGTAGCTACTTTCGTGGTATCTACTTTCAAGGGCCCCGCGCTAAATGCTTTCAAGCTATCAATTCCGGTTCAGTGATTCTGCACTTGCTCTATTACTATAGTACGATACCGCCTTCAAATTTTACGAACGACCGGGTGTTAGCGATTTGTCGTATTATCTGGCTGTATAGCAAATGCAAAAATACAATAACTTAACTATGCAAGTTTAAAATGTGTTTGAATATTTGTGTGTTTTATAAAATATGCTAGAGGCCCTGCACTAGCTTCATCCGGCACTGCATGTGGAGGAGTTTTTCTAGGGGGGGTGGAGGGTGAAACGTGGTGTTTCTCGCCACGGCTCTGGTCTTGTCCGCGTTGTTCAAGATCGACACTCTGCCTCGGACCAAACCCACTCGAATACGCAACAGCAAATTCCACGTCTGTCCAGAGACGGTGTCGCAGACGAAACAATGAGATCCGCTGGCCATGGGACATTTCTCGCTTTAATTGCTTGTCCTCCTTGGAAAGGCAAATACGACTACGGAGGGCGGCACGTGCTTTAATGGGCGCACCGCATTGCGCAGATCCGTGTAGAGAAACAGGGAACTGGAGCTGTGTAAATAATGTAGAATGCAAAGTAAATATTTTTTATGAACTAAAACATTAAAATATTTAAAGGGCAGGTTACCAAGACGGGAGTTGGAGTGGCGCCTAGAATTCAGCAGCCCGGGATTATATTATATTATTATAGCTACGCTGGTTTTACTCAGAGAAGCCTCTCTGAGTCACGAGGATTCTTCAGGTGTGACCTGCCAAGTGTTGTTGTTGTTATTGTTGTTTTTTGTTGCAGGAGGGGGAGGGGTGTTGCTGCTGCCGTGTGAAATCCCAATTGAATAATTTGCAGGCAATTATTCAGCATTTTAATGCACGGTCAATACCGGTTACATTGCATATATATACTGTCACATTACTGTGTATCTATTTATTTAGCTATTAGCTACGAGGGGCAACTGGAGAAGCAACGCAGAACAGGGGAGAACAAACTTCATACAGAACGGCGCCTGCCCAGGCCAGGGATCGAACCCAGGCGCTTCTTGCTGCCACGGTTTTGTAAGAGCCGAACCTTGAAGGCCGGATGCCAACTTTACAAAAAATTGATCTGGAGATTGTCACCCAAAGTAGAGGGGCCAGAGACACACACAAAAAGAGACGACCTCTCTAAATGTGTGTGCTGTGGAGAAGGTTAATTGCCCGAAACGTCGCCTATTGTATGTTTCTTCATGAGGCCACACGGTCCTCTTGACGAACGCGTTGAGTGTAATGTTGAGAACGTGTCGCTGCTATAGAAGCAGCTTTTGCAGGGATGCATATTCCAGACGCGTCTTTGGCACGGATGCAGACTCGACGTGGCATCTCCAAAGTGACGCATTGCACATGACGCACACATCGCACATTAGGCAAATCGGGTACCGTACATTCGCCATGCAGCTAATTGCGCTCACGCGATACACTGTAGCCTGCGAATGCGGCATCGTTACGTTCTGCAGGTACGTGCAGCCGGCGGCTATATATCAGCGTTTCCACATCATCCGTGGAAACGATATATTAATAATGAATCCTGCCCTTCCAGACGTTCACAATCATCGTTACATTGCGCAAGCGACCGCTTGAGGCTAATTGGCAGGCGCGGTTGAAAATGATCACATCTGGAGAGGTATAACACCTCGCGGAAGCGGAGCAGTGAATCAAACCCGCGTCTCCGCGTGCACCATCGCGCCTCGGTGACATCATCACACGCGCATCATCACAAAGACAAAGATACCCCGTGTAGCCTTAACAGACTGCTGGGGCAAGTGCTGTTAGCGAGCACCTATAAAGGCCGGCACGGCACACGAGGGGGTGGGTGGCCAGCACCACGCCCGGCCGCCTTTGTCTCCCCAGTGGCGATGTTTACACACCGCACCAGGTACTCATTTGAGGCTGAGTCGACCTAGGGGAGGCCC